AAAATTGAAGAAAGGTGGGATATTTGTCTCCCTTCTATTAGATACTTTTACGGGAAGTTTTCACGTGACTTGGAACATTTGATTCCACCAAGAGCGTGTTAGAAATCATACGTTAAAAGGTAAGACCTCGGATATAATTGTGTCAAAGCTATTTTCCGGGTTGTTTAACCGTGTTATGCATGCCTGACGTTTCGTCTGTTACTGCGGTAGTCATTATCAAAGGCGATGAGGTAAAGATAGAAGTGCCTGACTTGCTGCTCGAGTTGTTGTTCTCGTTGTTCCCAACACAGAAACTGAAATGCTGGTATTTGACTCCGGTTTTATATTATCATAGCTGGACGTGGCTTGATTTATCTTCATTGGATTACCTGACTTCGTTTGTGTGCAGTTAAGGACAGGTAGCCAGATTTTATTTATGTTCATTGCCTCTTCTTTCCTATTGAAATTATCCCTGTGTTTTTGAATTCATATTGCCTCTCTTTATTTTCTTGGATAGTAATTTTGAGTTTTATCGAGTATTTATGTATCAGCGCATAATCGGCTACAGCTGATTTGTCAGTTTGTCCGAAGCGACACTTTCTCTTGTGTTTAGAGAAATAGGTACCTATACTTCTTTTTGTGGTTTCAATGTGGACCGACTCACAGCTATATAATGAGTGTTTTTTTTGCTGGTATCTTTTTGGCAACTTTGTTTTTGACAGATCACGCCTGAGGCCTGAATTGTGCCTTGTGTCATTGTCAAACTTGTTCAGTTTGGTCTATAATTTAACCATGGATCGACTTACGAATGAACAACTCTTGCAAATTATCGAATTTTATTATCAAAATTCATGCACGGTGAATATAGTGCATCGTGCACTTCTTCCAATTTATGAGCAGTTTCGTCGGCCTACTGAGGGAGCTATTCGGAAGCTTGTGACTAAATTTCGAACCCAGTTTACATTATTGGACATTAAAACACCAACACGCATACGTAGAGTGAGGACCGAGGAATATTACGGCTGTATCTGCCAGTGTTCGTGATGACCGTGAAATGTCGAGTCGTCGCCGTTCGCAACAATTGGGCCTCTGTTACTTCACTACGTGGAAATTTTTGCGAAAGGATGTGGGTGTAAAACCTTATAAGATACAGCTGGTGCAAGAATTGAAGCCACACGACTTCCACAACGTTTAACATTTGGTGAATGGGCGCTGGCAAAGTTGGAGGAAGATCCACATTTTTATCGAAAAATTGTGTTCAGCGACGAGGCTCATTTCTGGTTGAATGGATATGTTAACAAGAAAAATTGCCGCATCTGATGGAGTGAAGATCAGTCACAAGCATTGTAAGAGCTCCCGATGCATCCCGAAAAAGTCACTGTTTGGTGTGGATTATGGGTCGGTGGCATCATCGGGCCGTAGGTACTTCTTCAAAGACGACAATGGCCGGAACGTTACTGTGAATGACGAGCGCTACCGTGTGATGATTGACGACTTTTTGTTGCTCAAAATGGAATAATTGGACATGCCTGACATGTGGTTTCAACAAGACGGTGCCACATGCCACACGGCACGCGAAACAATGGCCCAATTAAGAGCCGCCTTCGGTATAAAGTTTTTCTCACGTTTGGGGCCCGTCAATTAGCCGCCTAGATCGTGTGTTTAACGCCTTTGGATTATTTTTTTGTGGGGTCATGTTAAGGCTCATGTCTACAGGAATAAACCAGCAACGACTGACGCTCTGGAAGCCAATATTGAAGCATTTATATGTGAAATACCGGTCGATATGTTGGAGAGAGTGTGCCGAAATTGGACCTTGCGCATGGGCTATCTAAAGCGGAGCCTCGGACAACATTTGCATGAAATCATCTTCAAATATTAAATTATATTGATCGTTCTATCGATTTCAATAAATATTTCACCAATTTTTTCAAATTTTTTGTGTTGTTTTGAAAATAAAATCCTATACCTCTTGAAAAATCACCCGTAATCTGATATACTATGGCTGTTGCTGAAGGTTCTCTGAGGTTCCTTAGCTGACCTTAGACTTTCTCTGATAGTTTTCATCGGCCTAAATATTGGTTTCATGTCGTGTTCCTCTAATAATTTCCCAATCCCGTCTGTAACATTCGTAACATAGGGAAGGAAAGCTTTCCCCTTGCCTAGCCTGGCTGAGGTTACTTCGACGTTCTCTCTCTTGGGTCGTATGGCTCGTTCGAATTATTCTTCCCTGTACCCATTCCCCGTGAAGGCATTTTTCAGGTGATTTGAGTTCCTCAGGAAGGGTCTCAGGTTCACAGATACGTCACGCTCTTTCAACCAACGTTTCAATTGCCGCTCTCTTTTGTTGTGAATGGTGGTTAGAGTTTTTGTTCAGGTACTTGTCTGTGTGTGTTGGTTCAGTATATGGCCCAAATATATCATCTTCACGTCTGTTCACAAGAACGTCCAAGAAGGCTGTAGTCTTTGAGTTTTTCATTCCATTGTGAATAGAAAATCGTTCAGGGTCTCTGCATCATCTTGCTATACCATGAACGTGTCGATAACATACAGTTAACAATATGGTTTCACTGCCACTTCCTCTCAAAGAAGGCAATCATACATTATCTCATTCGAAAATACCCAAATACTCGATGAAATTCAAAATTACTATCCAAAAATACATAAAGAGGTAATAGAAATTCAAAAACACAGGTATAATTTCATTAGGAAAGAAGATTCAATGTGCATTAATGAAATCTGGCTACCTGTTCTTAATTGTACACAAACAAGGTCAGGTAATCCAGTTGAGAGAAGCCACCTCCACCGATAATAATATAGAATCGGAGTCAAATACCAGCATTGTATAGTTTCTGCGTTGTGAACAATGAGAACAAGTCAAGAACCAATTCGGGCAGTTCGACCGTTACCTCATCAACTTTGATAACGTTCAGCGCAGTGGTAGACAAAACGCCAGGCTCAAAAATCTGCAGAGCAGTTTTGTTGGAATGTTGGCTCAACAACCTGACAAGGTGAAATCATGATAATTTCTCAACGGAAATGAAATCATAGATAGATTCATCATTACTCCATTCGAAGCGTTAACGCGTTGAGTCAAGGTTCTATAAAAGGCACCCTATATACGAACACTAGCGACACGCCACGGCTCCGCACGTGTGCAATGTAGATAGTAAATATGAATGTATCCACCGGAAATTTCAGGGCATGGAGAAATAGTGATGAAAAGATAATTTTGTTTTATGGACGCGTTTTTTTTCCCCGGAGCTGTCGCCCCAGTTGGAATATGTAAAAATCTTTCCTTACTGCACATCTACAATATAAAACGAACCTACATATAAAATATTAGCCTCCGAAGATATACCGGTAAGGGGAAACAGTGACGAAGAGGCAACTTTATTTTATGAACACGTCATTTATTACTGCGGCTGGCACCTTATTTGGAATATTCAAAAATTCATTCTTATTGCACATCTATGACAGAAATCGAACCTACATACGAAATTTCAGCCTTCGAAAATATAGCGGTACGAAGAAACAGCGATGAAAAGGTAATTTTCATATGAAAACGCGCCCCTTTTATCCCCAAGGTGGCTCCACAGTCGAAATATTCAAAAATCCTTTCTTATTGCACATCTACAACATTAAACGGACCTACTTGCAAAATTTCAGCTTCCGAAAATATAACAGTACAGAGAAACAGTGATGAAAAGGTAATTTTCAAATGTAAACGCTCCCCAGTTGGAATATTAGAAACTTCTTTCTTAGTGCGCATCTAAGACCTAAGAAGCATCTATATACCAAATTTTAGCTTCTTAGGACTTACCAGTACATAGCAACAGAGATAAATGAGTGAGTATTAATTGAGTGTTTTTCGTATTGATAAGTATAGATTAGTCCCTAGTTGGATCTGTGCTGTCTGTGGTTGAGTGAGGAGCAGTGTTGCCACCGGAGCGCAAAATACACTATATATACGTAATTTCAGTTTTTTCGTGAATTTGTTGCGCTTTCTGCAGATTTTTTGCTCATTTAAAACCCTGTCATAAGATACGAGTTCTCAAATTCGACGATTAGTCCACTGACTGATTCAATGATTTCATGTATGGACATATTCAAAACGTTTTATTGGTTGAAAAAATAAATGAATTTGAGAACTCGCCTTTCGTCTCAGCAGATCAGTTTTACCTCACAGGACTTTATGCCAATTATCATTCAGCTTTAAATTTTTGGTAAACTCAACGAACCAAACAGATTGACTAAACCACTTCTGCTCTTTTATATTCTTTATACCAAATACCCCTCGATCTGCTTTTTTATATTCTTTATACCAATTACCAATCCACCTATGTTAAATTTTTTTTTCGAATAATTGGCTTTTCTAGAAATGCAGACAGAAGAAAGAACAAAACTTTGAAACGAATATAACTTGGTTTAATAGGTGTGCTGAGTCTAACTTTGAAAATGTTTGTCGTAGTTGCAGACAATATATCAGCCCCAAAAACCCCCAGAATACGGTTATTGAACTCGAAAACAACAAATAATCTTGTTTGAATCGAAGAGGGTATATTTTTTAAAAATATTGATTTTTGAGGAAAAAATGTTTTGGCTTTCTACTTCTCCATCTTCATACAAAAAAATGTGGAAGTCTACCTAAGAAAGAAAGCAATTGACTTCAAAATAAACTCTCCACAATGATGTGTAGCTCATGCAAAGAAGTAACTTTCAGGCACAAACTGGAAGAAAAATCCTTCTCGAAACAACTACTTTCATATATACATGGAATTACACAGAAAAAATACTTTCAAAACAACTGCTTCTATATGAACAATGAATTATAAGAAAGGGTGTTTTTGTATAATTTAATGTTCATATAAAAGTAGTTGTTCCGAAAGTTTTTTGCGTACCTTGACGAAGTTTCTGTTCACAATGGACAGGAGGAGCCTGGCCAAATACGCTCGAATGAGAGGCAACGGCCATAGAAATTAGAGAGAGAGAGAATATAGTGACATATGATTTGACAACTTATCGTGATTTGTGTTTACCACTCTGGTGAAGGGTGTGAAGACGGTGCAAAGAGTAGAGAGTTATAAATATTTGAAAATGGTTGATGACAGCACTCGGAAAACTTTGAGTAGTATTCCTCTCCTGAAAACGAAGGCAGGTCCGAGAGATAAAGATTTATGGGTACAAAGGCTGAAGGAAGAATATAAATCTTTAATACAGGTAAAGTCAATTAGATGTAGAAATAAACTCGACATATGGTTGGTATTTTCAGTATGTTCAAAATAATAAAGAAGCTGATAATGACTGGTTTAGACTTGAATCAAATAAAGAGGGTACTAAATGGTTTGGCAAATGCTGGTTTATTCACGAACTACTAAAATATGAATTTGATGTTGAATTCGATGTAAGTAAAATAGGGACACTCAAAACAGGGCATTGCTAGTGTCCCATTTTCGTTTCAGATTGCAGTGACTTATCCCACTACAGCACCTGAAATTGCCTTACCCGAACTTGACGGAAAAACTGCTAAAATGTATAGAGGTGGTAAGATTTGTTTGAGCGATCACTTTAAGCCTTTATGGGCAAGAAATGTTCCAAAATTTGGGATTGGACATGCAATGGCTCTTGGGGTTAGTTTTCATTTGCTTTTTCTGACAAATTAGTATTTTGAATAATTGGGAATGATGCCCATGTTAACACATCACATTCATAGATAGATTTTTGTTACCTTGACATCAACATCACCTTATAGGCAGAGGATAATTATAGTACAGGAGAGGTATAACATTGAGGGATAAAAAACAGGATACTATGGATCACCTAATCAAAATTACATTCCATATGCAGTTTTAGAAATGGCTATACATCCTTTGCATCACTACTGATAATGAATAATTTCGTTTTGCATAAAAAAATATTTTTTATGTGAGAAATATAACTGTTACATGTATTTTTGAAATATAAATTATTTTCAATATTACCTGAATCATTTTAATAATTGAAATTGCCACCAAAACAAATACATTCACCACATTTAGATTTAGTAATTCTGAGTCTAGAGTAATAGAAGCCATTTCTGATATTCAACAGCAATTAGCTAGATAGATATAAAATGTAGATTATTATATTAGTGTGAAAGCAGCCACAAGTTCTAGCCATGGATTTGTCGATGCGAAGCGGAAGATCCGATAATCAGCGGCTCCCAAAATACGGAACAAATTAATGGCCAGCCATGAATTTACTGAACAACCTGAATTGTATGCGATTAAAAACAAGTATAACAATAAATCCTCCATATCAAAAATTGTTGAGAATATCAAGTCATTAGAAATTGTTGGAATATATACATATAAGTTTAAAGAAAATCCATGATTCATCAAATCCATATCTTATTAAAATATTTCGTGGATGGAGATTTTTTTTGAAATGCATTCAATTCAGCATACAGAATAAGACCCTTATGCCAAAATATTTTGTCGGGCAGAAAATCAACCCCCACCCCGAATTAAATAATTTTCAAAGAAAAATCCATAACTCTTTCAAATATTGTTTGAATTGGGA